TCCGTAAAAAAATAAATGTATAATCTTGATATTCTTACATGATTACACTCAACATAACGAGATAAATACTTTGCTTTCATTAGAAAACAAAATGTAGTTTTCTGGAAATAAAATAATTCTCCTGATTTTTTTTTATATTTTCGTAGCACCGATGTGTCGTTATCTCAGTAACGTTCATTTACAGGATACAGGATAATTATCAATAAACCTTTTATTGTCTCAAGATTTTATTCACCGATCCATTGTTCCCAATCTAGAAAAACTTCACCCACTAAAATAACATTTGTTTTCTAGTGAAAACGAATGTTTTCTGGATTATCTTGAGATAAGATATATTAATTAATATCCTGTTATCTCAGTGATATATTCCAGATATATTCATTTATTAGAGAAACCATTATAACTCAAGTGTTTGTTGTTTTCTCGAGATAACGAATGAGAAAACTAAAGTCATGCAATATTATTAATGTGATTGTTATGAGCAAGATTATTAATTTACAAATGAGATAATCTGTCTCAACTCGACCGCTCTCGGCTTCCGTAGAAATGTTGAATCCAAAAATCTCGTAATCACACAAACAGCAGCTCTGATTGGTCGAAACTGGAGCGACCTCCTCGTTCACCACCACCCAAATAAAAGATCAATAAACCATCAGATCAATAAACCATCCATTCATCCCCACCATAAATAAAACTGATATATTAATATAAAGTCCCCAAAAGACACAAACTGTCCGCTGGATGAGTTCCTTTTTTACAAAAACAGAAAATAATAAAATGACGTTTTCTCTTTGTTCCTTTCACAGTTTCACTGAATTCAGGATGAAAATCGATTCTGACGATAAAACACAAAATCTATGGAAACGTAGTTTTAGGAGGAAACAGGTTAGTTTTTGTCTCCGAGTCGATCTGCAGAACAACGAAGCTCCAGACTTCATCATGTGACACTTTCTGAAACTTTCTGTCAACTGATGAAAAACTTTTGAGGTTTTTGAACTTTTTTGGGACTAAATATGGATCTTCATAAGCCCCGCCCCTTTAGCTCTGTGCTCCAATCACAGTTGAACCTCAGTTCTGTTAGCTGCAGCAGACTGGCGGAGAGGCGTCGACCTCCTGCATCGATCTGCAGACAGAAACTAAAACCGCTTCCTCCCGAAGAGACACGACAACGTAAACACGGAGAAGCAGCTCCGGCAAACTTCATCCACCGACTCGCCGTCAACACGCAGCGACAGAAACACATTCAGACGCCTGCAGCCGGACACGTCGAGTTATTGTGATTTAATTAAAAGGTGCTCCAATCAACGAGCACGTTCCCGCTCAGCTACACCTGCTGACTGTACACCGCTAACACCCACACAATCATATGGCTTCTGTACAGATGAGAAGAAAAGGCACCGAACACAAACAGATTCAACACGCCGACAGGAAACGGAGCCGCGTTTGAGCTGAGAGACGTTTTCACTGCGCAGCCACGTTTCTACCATCCACTGTTTAGCTCTTGG